TATTGACGGCCAAAAAGTTGGAGAAGTGTGTACATCTGTGTCGCAAAAAGTTTGCGATAGGCGACRTGCTACTTTCGGTACAGACTTTTTACCATTTTGTACTAAAAAATACTATTTTAATCATCTGTGTAAGTAATATCATTTTGTACTTCTTGTACAGACTCTGCTGAACCGAACAGACGGTCCGTATGCGGCCATGAAACCAGGGGTCCTGTCCACGAGAATCGAATACCCCTGGAGCCAAGAGAATACAATATTTCGGTATGTGTTCGGTAGGCAGTCGAACTAGAATGTGGCTTGGACTGATGCAGACATTGTGTACACCCCGATCAACATAGGTGGAAACCACTGGGTGATGCTCGGAATTGATCTTGTGGAAGGTGACTTAACCGTATGGGATTCACTCCAATCGGCCACTCCACTAGATTCACTCGAAAAGGAGCTGAAGCCCATTTGTACGATCCTACCTACGGTACTACATCATGGCGGGATATTTGCATCACGACCGGACCTGCCGGTGGTGCCATGGAGGGTGCGTCGGGTTCACACACCCCAACAGAGTAACGCCACAGATTGTGGAATTTTCTGTGTACGCTTCTTCGAGTACGATATTACCGGGTCAAAGTTGGACACTTTGACCCAAGATAATATTGTATTTTTTAGGCGTCAGTACGCTGTACAGATGTGGGCGCGCCGTCCCATTTTTTGAATATTTATGGAATTTTGATATTGTCTTTTGTAATTCGTATTTCATTCTCRAAGCATGATACATGAAACACACAATAATAATACAATCCAATCCCCATAATAATAATAATAGTAGTAGAACACATAGAGTTGCAAATGCATGCATGCATTGTTGGTTTCTTGAGATACAAGTTACCTTGCCAATTTCTTTAAAATCTACTTCATACATGTTTAAAAGTAAATGAACAACAGAAGCATACATTCACATTGTGGTAAGGGGTTCGCTACATGTTTTGCGATTGTCCCCACGCACCACAGCGACCACACTTACGTGTTTGTCGTACCTCGCCGGTGGAAGGAATCCTAGTTGTCTTCCTCCTCCCAACTCTTGGAACAGTCTTCGGTGGTTCCACCGGTATGTTGACAAACTCTGGCGAACTGTTCCATGTTGAGACGTGTCCGACTGGAAATATGGGTTCTGCATAAGCCAATATCCAGGAGTTCGTCGTATATGCCTCGTCGCACAGACTGTATGGATTTATATTTCGCATCGTCGCCGCCGCAATAGCATGAGAGCACGGAATCTTAAAGTAATCAAACTCCCGACAATTACACGTCATAGCGTTCAAATCAACAATCCCGTCAAGGTTGTCATCCTGTACCTGGAAATGRAACTGGTCAATGTTGTCTACAACGTGTCTCCGCACACTATTTGAATATTCGGCATACATGTTTTCTGCGTAGTCGGACAATGTGGTTGATCGGGAAGCTGCAAGCGTCCGTCGATCATAGAACCAATTCTGTAACTTACCTCTAATGTGGTCAAGTAAGGCGGTAACCGGCAACTTACGGGCGTGCCTGAAGAGGGTATTTACAGACTCTGCGATATTTGTAGTCATCTGTGTGTACCTCAATTGAGTTTGGAAACAACGAGCCCAACGCTCCTTCCCAATATCGTCTARATATTCCCGTACACCGGGGTATGCACGAAGTTGGGCCCAGATCGAGTTGAAATATGACTCGCGATACGCCTTTGCAGCCTTTAAAAATAGTTCCTYAACTGCCTTCGCATCGTTTTTAAATTTTGCTATCAAGTTAACCTTGATATGCTGTATACAAAATCAATGAAACGCAGCAGGAAATACCTTGTCGATTGCCTTGCAAATGGTTTGATGTCTATCAGAAACGAAAACCAAATTATCAACTYCAGCGAGTGCACGTTTTATTTGAGTCATAAACCACACCCATGATKCAACCGTCTCACCGTCAACAATCGCAAATGCTACCGGGTAAATCTGGTTATTCGCATCGACACCAGAAGCTGATAACAATACCCCTCTGAACTTCCCCTTTAGGTGGGCCCCGTCAACAACCAACACTGGTCTAATACAACCCAGAAAACCTCGAATCGATTGACCCAATGTCATAAATACATATTTGAAATATTTGCCACCTTCTAGTTCTAATTCAAAAATAGTACCTGGGTTCATGATTTTCAAAGCTTCACCATAAGCTGGAAGTAGACCATATGACGATGCTGGATCACCTCTAATAAGCCGGAGTGCTTCTTCACTAGAACGYCATGCTCTATCATAACTTAAATTGACACCATACTCCTTCCTCATATCTTGTATAATGTTCTTCGGTCTATACGTGCGGGAGACGTCTGTGAACTTCTCTTGCACAAGATGTCCTACCACCCAACTTTTGGCTTGCCTATGATCATGTTTTAAAGCTCCACCATAGCACGTATGGGCAGCACAATATTTTTTTATCTTGAACAAAGTGCATTCCTTTAGCTTGGTAGCTCGAAGTCTCCACGTGCAATCAGCATGAACGCACCGCAGTATATATAGCTCCAGCGTCGACTTCTTTACTTTAAACTGAAAATTCTTCTGCATTGCAACTAAATGCATTTTCAAACTCAACTCCTTCTTATTATCAAATACATCTCCCTCATTAACATCATTTGTCCCAGAAGACTGTACTATGAGTTGCAATTTCTCATCATTAGGGTCTCCGGTGAGACCATTACATCCCGGTGGCCGGAC